TTCATAATGACCCAATGAGGTAGGTTCTACCATTGACCCTCCTTCTCTTCCCTTTTTTTTTTTTTTTTTTAACCTCACCCAAGGACATTTCTGCATTTATCTTCAGATAGAGTGGGAGGGAGAGAGGGAGGAAGAGAGAGAGAAACATCCATATGAGAGAGACACATCGACTGGTTGCCACCCACACAGACCCATTTGGGGCCGGGGACACACTGCAACTGAGGTACGTGCCCTTAGTGGGAAGTGAACCTGGGACTCTCTGGTCCGTGGGCTGACGCTCTAACCGCTGAGCCAAATTGACCAGGGCTTCTCCTCCTTTTTAAAAAAACAACTTACTAGTATTTTCTTTTTAAAGACAGGGAAATGAAACACTGAAAGGTAAAGTGGCCATGCCTGAGGCCCCCATGTTGCTGGGAGCCCAGTTCAGCTCCACTCAGTTTGACACCAAGACCCACCGGGATGCTGGTGGAAAGACCTCCCTGTAGCCAGGGCGGAGGCTCAGCCAGTGGAGATGAGGTCTCAGCTTCCTGTGTCCTGGCCCCAGAAATCTCAGGAAGCTCACAGGCCCAAGATGCCACTGGCAACTTCCAGCTTGACCATCCCTGGAGAGAGGGGCTCATGTATGCAGACCCTCTGACCACCTCTTCACACAGACACTGGGGCTGGGCGGCAGAAAGCCCCCACCTGGGGTTTGGAACTCGGACTTGAGTCCCACTGCCCTGGCTCCCAGCTGAGGGACCCTGAGCATGTCTCTCTGCCTCTGGGCTCTGCTTTGCTCATTTTTAATGCACGGGAAGCTGGCTAGGGTATACCTTTGTTTCTTCTTCTTCCATGAATATGTTCAGATATACATATAGGTCCTTTCCAAGCTCCCCACTTCCCTAACTGCCCATTTCCATATGCATTTACATATGGCATTTCTTCCAAAAATGGAATTATACTGTATATATTGATCACGTGACTTTATTCTTTTCATGAAATAATAAATTTCAGAGACCTTTCCAGGTCAAGGAAGTAGATCTACCTCATTCTTCTAAAAAGATGCTCATTTGCCCATGTGACTGCCCAGTAATGTAACCCCTCCCCATGTTGGCATTAAAATCCCTGCAAATGGAAAAAGACAAATACCACATGATCTCACTTATATACGGAATATAATGAACATAACAGTCTGAGGAATACAGTAGACCCAGACACTTGGAAGTAGGGCACAGACTGACATCCCTCAGAAGAGGGGATGGGGGGTGGGGGGGTGGGAAGAGATAAACCACAGAACTTATATGCATGTATGCATGACCAATGGACATGGACAACTAAGCCGGGGACAGGGTGGAGGGGTGGTGGGGTGGGGGGTGCCAATGGGGTAAAAAGGTAAAATATCTGTAACAAAAAAATAAACAAATAAATAAAATTCAAAAAAAAAAAAAAAAAATCCCTGCAAATGGACACAGACAATTGTTTGGGGGAAAGCAGGAGGGGAGGTGGGAGCAGGGAGGAGGGGGACAATGGGGGAACAAAGGGGGGACATCTGTAATACTTTCTACAATAAAGGTAAAAAAATAAAAATCCCTGCAGTCTGTGTCCATGTCTGTGTACATGTGAGCGTTTCTCCAGGATCCTGGGCCAAAGGGCATGGCATTTAAATTTTGAAAGACTGCCAAATGGTCTTCTGAAGGCTTCAGAGCTTTTAAAACTGGTTTGACTGTTCCTTTGATCTCTAGCAGGATAGCAGGTAACAGCTTTAGAGTCATTTAACCTCTGTGAGCTTTAGTTTGCTCCTCTGTGAAATGGGAAACCTAGAGGAATACACACGAAGGTCGTTTGAAGATGGCAGTCTTGTTTAAAATGTGAGGGATGAAAACTGTCATTAGTATTGGGAGGCCCAGGGGCTGAACATCACCCCCTCCATCACACACATAGCAGAACGGAGCAGCGTGAGCAAGGAGGATGCTGTCTTATATCAAGCATCACCTCTGTGCAAGGCACATATATTAGAAAAGTGGTTCTCAGTGGGTGGGGGGAGATGACTTGCCTCCCCCCCAGGGGACATCTGGCAATACTGGGATCCAGGTCTAGTTGTCGTCAATAGAGGGGGTTGCAAGGAGCGTCTGACAGGGAGAGGGTAGGAACGATGCTGAGCACCCTCCAGTGCACAGGCAGGCTCCATAACCCAGGACCGTCCAGCGCCCAATGTCTGCAGTGCTGAGCATGAGAAACCTTGATCTAGACCTGCCTCTCATCTGATGCCTACCTTACAACAAACCTCACCCAGAGATGAGTATACTAAGGCTCAGAGAAGTGAATGTCTTGCCCAAGGTCCCCCAGCCAGTAGTAGCCAGGAGTTGACCTTTGGCCCCATCTGACCTCAGGGTCAGAGGTCCATTGTGTACACTGCACTGTCCCTCTGGGCAGACATCACTCTGGTCTCTGAGTGCCGGCTGACTTCCTGCCTTGGCCCCTGGCAGATCATCTACAGGGCAGGTTATCAGTTTTACCTAAAAGTACAAGCTCCCTACTGATTTAAAAGTTTTATGACTTTCAGCTATAGTCATAATCATTGTTTGCATTTACTGTGTGCTACACACTTTATGAAGATTAACTCATTTTACTCTGATAAGGACACTGAGGGAACCGGGTCACGGAGAGGTTAATAATTTCCCCAAGATCACACAGGTTTGGGCTCTAGATCCAGACAAGAGGGATCAGAGACCAATCTCTCAATCCTACGGTTCCCCTCAGGCTCTAAATGTTCCCCTTGGCACCTTGGGTTTGGCTCCTGTTCTGAACTGGAATAGGACAGGCCGGAGTTCCAGCCCAATGCCTCAGGAAGAGAAGCCGTGCCCTGAGCAGGACGGGAGACTGTGGCAGGGAACTCTGGGCTGAAGGGAATGCCCAGGGACGCAGAGGAAAGAGCCCCTGAAGGAAGGGGACATGACTTCCTCCGACCCTGTCCATAGTTCCTGGAGCAAACCTAGCTATGCAACTGAAGGTCCTGCAGCAGTCTTGGCTCCGGCATATTGTCCAATCTTATTTGCTCTCCTGGGTTCATTTGGATTTTGGCAAACCTAAATTTGGCAGTGGGCTCTATAAAAATTTCACACGGGGTGAGTGGTGAAGTGAAAACGTCCAGGAATGGATTTTACAAGGTGGCCTGTTGGGGGGCAGAACTGAGTTCCAGCTCTGCCCATTCCTAGCTGCGTGACATTGGCAGAGCCTTAGCACCTCCTCTGACAAGTGGGGACAGCAGTGTCCAATGGTCCAGGATGTAAATCTGAGGACTGGAGGTAGTAGTGTCCAGGACCCTGGAACCCCACGAGCCCTGGAGAGGCTGCGACCAGCTTTGCCACCCATTGACTGGGTGACCTTGAGCAAGTCTCTTCCCCTCTTCTTGCGTCTGCTTGCTTAACTGTCAAAGGGAGGGCAGGGTCTTGATCTAGAAGCCCTTTGAGGTCTCAGGGCTCCGAACTGGACCATTGCTGTCTCCCTAGGGCTGACCTCTTTGGGCACCCAGGACGCACATTTGTCCATACTCCAGGTCAGGGGGACAGCTCCAAAGAGCAAGGCAAAGCTCCTTGCCTTTCTCTTCCCAGTCCCCACAATCTGGCCTGCTAGAGAAGAGCTGCTCCCAGCCCCCCATCAAGTCACCAACATCCTGTCCCTTAGACCAGCTTCACTGAAGCAGCAAAGCCAACACTGTCTCCAGCCCAGTGGATGGTTTCTGCAGCATCCCTCTCCCTTGGTCCAGCGCCTAGGGAATTCCACTGGGCAATGCCCAAGGAGCTGGGGACAGGCAGCCCCAGGGAGGAAACTGGGGCCCTTCTCTCTGCATGGACACCTTCTCCAGGAGAGGCGTTGGACTGCCTCAGGGGAGGATATTCTGAACCCCAATGGCCCTTTGTGTATGTGTGTGTGTGGGGGGATGGGGGTGGGGAGGTGTAAGAGGGGGTGGAGCCCCCTGCGAGTTCTGCTGCCTTAGAGGCCATCTCTTCTGTCAGAGTTGGGAGGCTCCTAGAAGGGTCCCTAGGTTCAGGACCCCAGCTTTAAGAGCTTCAGTCACTAGGCTTTCTCCCTAAGCCTCTTACTCTGCCAGGGTGAGGAAAGGTGAGGCGGAATTAGGGGGAGCAGTGAAGTGTGGCAGTACTGCAGGGCAGCGTGGGACTGGGTGACGGAGAGGTGGGTGTGAGGTGCTAATGGGATAGGGTCTGTGTGAGAGGGTCAGATAGGAGTGAGGGGCGGTGACTTGGTCTGGATGGGTATCCAGACCCTTACCCTGTTTCTCAATATAAAACCTCTCAACCACATCTTCACTGGAGGAAGGGAGGAAATCCCCCAAATACCTTTAGTGGTGGTGTCCGAAGCAACCACGTCTTTCTTACTGGGGGGGTCTTGCCGGGTAGGGGGAGGGAAATCACCTAAAGGCAAATACCAGAGCCTAGTTTCTGAGGAGGAGGATGCAGGGAGGTCCATATTGGGTTGAGGGTGACAGGCAGAGTCTGCCCTGGGAGCTCCTTGTCTTAGGAGGCACTAATTCCCAGGCTATCCGGGAGCCTCCATTTTCCATGGGGTGAGCACAGTCACCTATGTGCTTAGGAGACCCCATCATTCAGAAGGGGTGGGTAGAATCCAAACTTAGTTTCCAGGGAGGAGGAAGGGACGTGGGTCTCCAAAGAGATGAGAGGGCCCTAGATACCTGGGGAAGCTGGACCCCACTTCTGGGGGTCACATTTCACTGCAGGGGGTAAATTAGGGAGGAGAACCTTATCTCCACAGCCTAGGCTCAGGAGGAAGAGCCCATTTCTGAAGGAAGAAGGAAGCTATTTGCTCTCTGGAAGGTGGGAGACCTTCTCTTTTCGGGGGAGGGGACCCACGCCTCGGGAGGATGAGGGCCGTGTTTCCGAGAGAAGATGCCGGTTTTTGCTCTCTGGGGGCAGGGCCGAAGGACTCCATCTCGACTCCCCGCAGAAGGGCCCGCCCCACGCGACCCAGCGCCTCGCCCTTACCTCCAGGCCCCAGCTCGGATGTGCGGACTCCGGTCTGCTGGGCTCGGACTTGAGCGATCTGCGCCCTGCGCTCGGACTGCGCCGCGTCTCTGCCCCGCTTCCCCCAGCGACTCGCGGGGCTCCCTGTCTCCGCCGAGTCGCGCGGACCAATCAGCGCTACCTGCCCCGGCCCTCGCTCACACAGCAGCCAATGAGCGTGCCCGCCACGGGCCACCGCCCCCGGGGGGGAGGGGGAAGGTGGGGCGGGGGTAGAGTCCGGTCTCCCGAGGCGCTGGAGCCGGGGGCCTGGAAGAGGGACCGCGAGGGCCGGGAGCGAGGATTGGAGCAGCGAAAGGGGCGGCCGAGGACCCCCATCAAGTCGGCTGGGAGTTTATCTGATGGGGGGTTGGGGGCGAGTCTTTGAAAGGGGGGCGGCTCTATTGGTTGATTTAGATTTCTTTTTTTTTTTTTTTTATCCTCACCCGAGGACATTTTTATTTTATTTTATTTTCAAACAGAGCAAGAGGGAGAGAGGGAGGAAGAGAGAGAGAAACATCCATGTGAGAGAAACACGTCGAGTGGCTGCCACCCACACGACCCCAACCAGGGCTGGGGACAAACAGCAACCGGGGGTCGTGCCCTTAGTGGGAACTGAACCCGGGACTCTCTGGTCTGCGGGTCCAGGCTCTAACCGCTGAGCCAAACCAACCAGGGCTCTATTGGTTGATTTAACCTCGACCTTAATGACTCCTGGACCTTTTCTGGACCCTTGCGATGCTGGCAAGTGTAGCTGTCCCAACTGCACCTGGCTTCCCAGAACCGGGGCCCTGGAACCCTAGAGTCAGAGTCACACAAGGTTTCCTATGAAAAGGAGGGGAGAGAGCATCATGCCTGTCCCCATCCACCCCTCAATGTTGGCGCTCATGGCTCATGCCATTCGCTTAACACCTCCTGGTCCACCAGTTCCAGTAGGTAAATAGCTTGTGCATTGTGAGTGCAATGCAAAGAGCACTGAACTAGGAGTCCATGGTTCCTTCTGCAAGATCTAGGGCAGGTCACTCCACCTCCCTGATTCTCAATTTCCTAAATGGTAAATGGAGACAACAGTGATGGGACCTCCTTCAAGAGTATAAATGAGATCGGAGATGTTGTGGAGGTTCTTTAGTAAAAATTAAAATGCTGTGTGAAAATTAGTTAATACTAAAGTGTGAGTGACTAATAGCCCCGCAGCTTTCTAAAGGTATCTGGAAAAATGACACAGTCATTCAGTAGTAAAGTCAAAGACACAAGAAACTGCTCATCAGAACAACATGAAATCACCAAGTGCTCATAATGAATGATTTCTTGAATGGAGATTCCAGACCTTAAAAGGCCAAGAAAGAATACAGCTTGATTTTCTCCACTCAGCCTCATCAGGTAACTATTTTGTCTGCTGGAATCTTGCAAAACTCTGAGGTCCTCCTTCCTGCCTTCCACAAATCCAGGCTGCCTTATCTCTGATCAGGCAAGCAGGAATTAAGAATGTAAGATAAAGATAATACAAACAAATAAATAACAACTTTCAACAAAATACCTGTTCCCTAGTGTGGTCTGTGACTATAGGGATCAAACAGAAACAATAAATAAGAATAAATACTTCAGCCCTGGCCAGTTTGGCTCAGCGGTTAGCACATCGGCCCACAGACCAATGTGACCCGGGTTCTATTCCGGCCAAGGGCATGTACCTCGGTTGCGGTTTGTCCCTGCCCTGGTTGGGGTCGCGCCAGAGGCAACCAGTCGATGTGTCTCTATTGCATTGATGTTTTTCTCTGTCTCTCTCTCCCTCCCTCCTAATCTGTTTAAAAATAAGTGGAAAAATGTGCTTGGGTGAGGATAAAAAAAAACCCAAAAAGAATAGACACTTCAAAGGTACAGACAGAAAATATAATTGATTTGCAATTCTGAAACGGAGAGCTTTGACAATCTCTTTGGTATGTTAATCTTGTCATTTTGCTTGCGAAACTTTATGAGGCCAGAGTTATAAATCTAGCAATTTTCCCTTAATACCTAAGCCACTAAGACAATCCCCTTTTCCTGTCCAATTTGGCTCAGCGGTAGTCTCGAGTTGGATTTTGGCCAAGGGCAGGTACCTCTGTTGCGGTTCCCCTGGCCCTGGTCAGGGTCCTGCGGGAGGCAGCCAGTTGATGTGTCGCTCACCCGTCGATGTTTCTCTCTCTCTCTTTTTCTCTCCCTCTCTCTCCGAAGATAAATACAAAAACATCTTCGGGTGAGGATTTTAAAAAGAGAGAGAGAAAGAGAAACAATTCCTTTTATTGTCCAAGACTCACCCAAAGAAATGGAATGGTCAATAACCATAGGAGGAAATACAGTTGTCAAAGAAAGACAAGAGAAAGTGATGAAAAAATTCATCTACTAAAATGTTCTCATTTTTATTCTTATAATTACTATTATTTGTGGCTCTTTTAAGGAAGTGGATAATTTCATGAATTGCTGATGGGAGGAAGACAAGTGATCAAAGTTTTTCTGGAGAGAAACTAGGTATTCTATTTTAAAAATCTTAAAAATGAACTAACCCTTTGACCTAGCAGTTAAACCTCTGTGAATTTACCCTAAAGCAAGGAATGGTATGAAAGTTTAGTAATAGAATGGTTGACTGTCATTTTGTTTATTGTAGCAAAAAACTGGAAACAACCTAAATGTACAATAGGGACTGTGAAGGGACATCTGTTGCATAAGACAGAATGCCTCCAATAAAACACAGGTGTTGACTATTGGATGGTATGGAAATATCATCTTAGAATATTAAGTGAACAAGGATATTCACCAAAAAGCTTATTTGATATTGTCCTATTTTTTGTTAAATCTATATAACTATAGATAGATCACTGTCCAATAGAACTTTCTGTGATGGTGGAAATGTTTTGCATTGGTGCTATCAAATATGTTAGCCACTAGCCACAGATAGGTACTGGACACTGTCATGTCATTAGTTGATTGAAAAATTGAACTTTTAAATGTTTTTGAGTTTTAGTTTTAAGTCAAATAGGCACATGTAGCTAGTGGCTATCACATTGGACAGTACTGATATAGATAGACAGATAGATAGATAGATAGATAGAGAAAATAAATATCTATTAGTAGAAATAGTTATTTCTGTATGCTGAAATTATGGATGATTCTAATGTTACTTTATTTACATGCCACCAATGTCTAATTATTTTATAATTAATATATATTGCTCTTATACTAAAAAATAGATTTAAAGTGAAAATCAAAAAACCAAATAATCCAGTTAAAAATAGGCAGAGGACCTGAATAGACATTTCTCCAAAGATGATATACAGATTGCTAACAGACATATGAAAAGATGCTCAATGTCACTAATCATCGAGGAAATGCAAATTAAAATCACTATGAGATATCACCTCACACCTGTCAGAATGGCTATCATCATTACATCAACAAATCTTAAGTGTTGGCGAGGATGCAGACGTAGAGAAAAGGGAACCCTCGTGCCCTGTTGGTGGGATTGCAAAATGGTGCAGCCACTATAGAAAACAGTATGGGTTCTCAAAAAATTAAAAATAGAGCTGCAGTATGATCCAGCAATTCTAATTTCAGGTATTTATCTAAAGAAAACAAAAACACTAATTTGAAAAGATATAAGCACCCCTATGTTCATTGCAGCATTACTATGAATAGCTAAGATATGGAAGCAACCTAGGTGTCCATCAACAGAAGAATGGATATATAAGATGTGATATATATATATCAGCCATAAAACAGAACTCTTGCCATTTACGACAACATGGATGGACCCAGAGGGTATTATGCTAAATGAAATAAGTCAGACAGAGAAAGACAAATACCCTATAATTTTATTTATATGTGGAATCTAAAAATACAAATGAAAAACAAAACAGAAACAGACACATAAATATAAAGAATAATCTGATTTTTGCCAAAGGGGAGGGGATGAAAATAGAAAATAAAATAAAATGAAATAAAAAACAAAAAAGCAAAAGTCTAACCCAAATGCAGCCCACCTTCTGTTTTGTATACCCTGCAAGCTATAATATAAAATGGGTTTTACATATTAAATGGTAAAAAAAAAAAAAAAAAATCAAAAGAAGAATAATATTTTGTGTCACATGAAAATTATATAAAGTTCGCATTTCAGTGTGCATAAATAAAGTTTATTTTGGAACACAGCCATACCCACTCACTTATGCATCGTCTGTTGCTGTCTTTATGCTACAATGGCAGAGCTGAGTAGTTGAGACAGAGACTGTGTAGCTTGCAAAGCCAAAAATATTTACCATCTGGCCTTTTTAGGAAAAGTTTGCCAAGCCCTGGTCAAAGGCAGTCAGGGCAAAACAAAATGTGTGGAGTCCTCATTCATCTGTTCATTCATTCATTCAACTATGTATTAAGCCCCCAATGTGGGTGAAGCTGTGGCCCTGGGCATTGGGAGGAGCTGTACTGTTTCTGGTTAAGCAGAGGCGTGAGAGGGATATTTAGAGCCAGGTGCTTTGCAAGCTGATTCTCAAAGAGCTTCATTGTGACACTTGTAAAGAAAACTGTCAGCAGGTGGAAAAAACCCTTCTCACATTAGATTTGCTTGCATTTTCCACAGTTCCATGGTTTTCCTATGCGGCTGCTTGGGGTGGCAGGTGTCTTCCAAGGGATGCTGAGAATGTTTTCCAGAGGCTGACTGAGGTCCAGAATGGGAGCTCCTTCCAGAAGAGCAGCTCTGTTTGGGAGGGCTTCCTCTGCATCTCCTGAGAGGAGAAATGAGGGAAATGAAGTGTGAAGTTCTCGGGGCACCAGCAGTGTGAGCAGGAAAGACCCTTGGAGAGCTGCAACCCATTGTACAGCAGAAGAAATGGGCCAGAGATGAGGATTAACTTGCCCAGAGCCAGATTAAAATAGTGCCTTATTTCCTAGGTCTGCGCTTTCCACATTCCCTGCTCACAAAACAATAAAGGGCTAGCATAGAGGGCATTTGGGTGTGATGGAAAGGGGACTAACTTAGGGGCTGATATTGAATTCAAGTATCACCTCCCAATGACTATGTGACATTTAACCCCTCTCAGCCTCTGT